CCCCAAAACCCCAAAACCCCAAAACCCCAGCAGTCAGATAGATAAATTAGTAAAGAAGTTAAAGAAAAAACAATTATAAGAAAAAAAATTTAGGTTTTTTTAATTTATTAGTGAAAGTATAAATGAGTAAAAACTAAGCAAGAAGAAATCTAGCTAATATTAAAACTCAAAATCGGTATCAATCTAAGGAAAAGACTAATCTAGACAGCGAAATCAAACTGGAATAGAACTAACATAGTCTGATTCATCATCAATCATTTACTCGAGACAATATAAATTTGAAGTCCTTTGAAAAAAGTCCAAATAACCGTAATGTATTCAGTCAGGGTGGAGTTGGACCAAGTCACTAGCATGGTAGTGACTTAAATTTCTCTTCTCCCTTCCAAGGCACGCCATCCAAGGGAGGTCTTAACAGAATAGGAGTAGCGTTGAATAACAGACTCAGTAGTGTGAATAACATATCAGATTAGCAGAGATAAATCTCAACCGCTATCACCTCCTCCAACCTTAATCATTTTAGAGCATAGAGAACGAATTCTAATTTTATTCAAGAGTCATTGCTTAACTCTATAACATCATAGCAATTCTCCCCTAAGGACTTAGTAAAAAACAGTAACTAAAGGTGAGGCATACATATATTATCCCCTGATTCTAAATATGCTACACTGTAGCTTCATTAGTCATTACTGAGCCCGCTTTCAGTTAACTAAGCTACATTCGATAATAGTAACATAACTACCACGCCTATCACCTCTGCTCTAAATAGCTTCCTCACTAAAAGGAAGGAGTATGATAATAAAGATTTGAAGTATTTGTTTTCAGACCAGAAGAAGCCAACATATATGATATTGGACAAGGATGAAAATGAAATCAATAAAATGGAATCGATTAACTTGTTTGATGATATGAAGGAGCACATAATAGAGAAAAAACAAAGAATAATTCAACACTCTTTGGAATTAGAGCTCAGGGCTAAAAAGAAGTCTGCTATTCATGACAGATTAGGTAGGTCATTAAACAAAACTATTGACTAGCAATAGAAGGTAGAAGATATCAAGAAAAATGTAGTGAGGTAATCATTCCATCTCAAGTCATAGAATAAAACATTGATTCATCATAGAACTAATAGCATGACAAGTCCAATGAATAAAAGTTTAGAAAGAGATGAGAGCATGTCTCTAGTCAACTTAAATGAAACCAAATCAAGAATCTCAAAACTAACCCTCGCTTAAAATTATGTTCATGTAAAGGCAGAGGATGTAATCTTTAAAAATGGCTTAAAAAGTTTCGGTTTTAAATAGGATAAAGCTTATGAGAAGAATGTTAAAGATCTGCTTAATCAGACTGTCAAGGAATACTAGATTGCAAAACTATAGTTGAGTAAATTAGTTAATAATGGCAATTTTCATCAAAATCTCAATTCAAGAGGGGAAAATCATCATTAGATACTATAAGAGATAGATCAGTATTGCAGATTAAATACAAGAGGGTACTTCGCACCATTAAATCTCATGTTTACTTATGAAACTAAGGGAGATCTTAAAGTTTTTTTAGGTCTTAAAACAAAAGAACCTACGCAATAGAATAATGACGGCATCTACAATAATGTAAGATTTAATAAAATTCATTGATATTTAGCCGAAAAGAATACATGTGCCGGGTCTCAAAGGAACTAATTAGTTTGCTTATCAGGATATATATCTCACATTCACATCTTTATTAGGAGTAAGTTTTAAAGTTTAAGCTCAGTTCTATGACATTACTGCAGCTTAGAATAAAAAAGGAAATAGAATCAATGATCAATAATTAGATTCTTTCTCTCATAAAAAGGGCTTTGAAATGAGAATAAAGTATGAGGTTCAGCGATGTCTTAATGATCCAGCCATCTATAAAGATATGATCCAATAAATGACTGAATTGCAATAATCAAGAAAATTAAAATCTGCGGCTCATTCAAAAAGATCAAAGAATATGATTAAACTTAATAAGAAGACTATGGGTATTTGGGATGAATTCCAAATGTAAAAGAATCAGCATCTAGCTGAGTTAAAAGATGAAATGAAGAGAAGAGCGCAAGAGAAGAGGGAGCTATAGGAAGAAAATGAAAGAGACTCGCGTGAATAGTATATGAAGAGATGGGATGTTTTTAAGGAAAAGAGGGATGCATTTTACTAAAGGTACGTAGAACTCAAAGTGAAGAGGAACAGAGTTAAAACTTTATTGACTCATATACATCTCTAGAGAATGCTAAAGTATTTAGCGAATTATTACAATCATACAAAAGTTGAAGCAGTAATGAAAGCAGTGAGACACTTTAGATGCTTTAAGATCCAGTACTATCTTAAGCGATTCTTTAGAAGGAAGGGTACATTTGAAGGCAGATAATAACTACTCATCAAAAAGTAATTAAACTTGCTTAATATCATTTATAGTTCACTAAACTTTCTGGTAGTAACTTAGCATGAAAATCTAGAAGAGAGAGCTAAATGGCATCTGTTTCATAGGTTCCTCGATGATACCTCTACTAGATATGAATTTAAGGAGAAGATGAAATCATTTAGAGAAGGCATCATTTATATATAGAGGTCAATTAAGATCAGCAAGATTATGATGAAAACAAAACTCGATATTCTTATTAAGATGTGGATGAAGGAATTAACAGACATGCAAATCAAGTGCTTGGCTATCAGAGATAAAAAGAATAGAGAATTTGTGAAAGACTCATAGAATATTAGAGAAGACATTAGAGATGCTATATTGAATAAGTATCTTGAGTAATGCAAGCACAAAAATGCTATGGCTTATTTTTAATGGAGGGACACATATTCTAAAAAATCTGATGTAAGTTTTATAAATGATTTAAATACCTAATAGAGAGAAGAATTGAAAATGATGTTTGACTGCTGTTGGAGAAAATTCCTTAATATTTCATAAGATTCTCCAACTACACTATCTCTATCAAAGCACTAATCTGAGATATCGCCAAGGAAAAATACTGGTACAAGCAGTCCAATTAGAAGATACGATGAAGTCTTTGTTGATGAACCGAAGGGTTGTATTATCTTGAAATTTGAGGAGTTAAATATGAGAGATCCTTTTGCTCAGTTCAATAATTCCAGCAAGTCACCATCGCAGCCTGAGACAACTAAAAATTAAGGAAACACATAAAATGGCAAATAATCCAAGTTTTTCCCTTAAGGAAGCAAAGAGCAAGCTTAATTGCTGCTCAAGCAATAACAGTCTTCCTAGAAAAGAGATAAAAGAGTCTATGAATTCGAGAGATATGTATACCCTTACTGTAAAATGCAATACCAATTTATACCGCCATCTACCATATATTTACCTGATTCAGAACTCATCAGGAAAATGATAAAGGGATGTCTTAAAACCAAATCTCCTCTAGAAGCACTTGCCAAATTTTGAATTTATTAGATGAAGTCATATAATACCTAATTTGCTAATTAAGTTAATTTCTTAATAATTGGAATTTATTTCATCATGAGGGGTTTTGGGGTTTTGGGGTTTTGGGGTTTTGGGG